AGCAGTAGTAATTTTTGCTAGAAAATACAACAGCTTGAACAAATGTGTTTGTTTTTTTTACATTGCTGTAAATTACCTATTTTATGTAAATCACTATAGGTTTAGGGTCACCTTCTTTAAAAAGCTTCAAGTTTCCCTTTCTGTTGTGTTAATTTTTCAGTCATTTATTTTCATTAAGGTATGTTTCAGTTCATTTCCAAGATGATGACAGCTTTAGATCTCCCAAGGGAAGTGTAGTGCTCTGACGATTTTCTGAGCACCCCCTGAATTCACACTATATGCAAAAGTTTATATTGTGATAGAAATACCGTCTAGGCTTTTAGTAGAAACAATTATTACAGATTCAAGATACAGTACAGGTGTCACCAAATTTATTCAAACCCTTGCTGAACTGTAATTAAAAGATTTAAATTAGTGACTGTACATAAAGATTGTTCAACGTTTCAGATATCAAATAGGATGCCAAAATAGTACTGCCAAAGAAGTACTGAATATATCAGCATGACTATAGAAACTACATATTTCTACATATTGCAGAGGAAAATCATATTTTCACACTTAGAATGAAGTGTTATTAAAGATTTCTTACAATTTTTGTGCTGTCTTGACCAAGCAGCCTGGTGCCTCTCTCAAAATGTACAGGAATTTGGTTAAGGAGGCTCCTCTGATAAGAGACATCGTAAAACTGTATCGGCGCTGGACAGTGAAATGATATATACTGTAGCACAGACATACCCCATCGACTCTGTATTTATTCTTATTGTACTTATTCCAAACACGTTTGATGTTTAGTTCACAATAGTAAATGCATATTTACCTGTATCTGAGAGTAAATGTGATACATTTATATGAGACTGATAGAACCTACTAGTTAGAATGTAACACATTATAGTCAATATATTTTAGCTCTGAAGTTATTGACTCTGATCTTTGTCATCCCTGAGTGAAGGATCAGCCTTGCGTATCACAGTATATCATTCACAAATACACAGTAATATAGTAAGAAGGTATGTTGCTTGTTATGCTGGTGTTGGTGTGATGTTGGTGTTATATCGATAAACTGTATATAGTATATTTAGAAACTGTGTGACTGGTGCAAAATGTTGGCAAGTACTTTTGCAATTTATTGTCTCAGTTTCTGATTGTTACAGTAAATTAAAATCCCCATCACCTACAAAATTCAAAATACAATGCTAATCATCTTTTGCCATTTGTTATTAAGGAAGACTAAACAAAGAAGCAAATCATTAATGTCAAGTCACCAGTAGGAAGGTCAAAGAGCTGCTTGAAGTTCTCTGCTAAGGTAGAGATGATCAACCTCAACAACTCTAGGCTTCGGTACTGTATGTACAAAATCAATAAGACACCTGAGTTTTGACAATGTTGTCCATTACCAAGAAATTCAAGGGTAAAGTGATGACAGCTCACCCAACAGGAAGAAGATGCAAGACAGTCTTGCCCATATGTGTGGTCAGGAAAGTGGTCTGGGTGATAACACACATTCAAGAACAACAACTGAAAATGTTCAGAAAACTCTGATGTTACACTCTTTGGAACAGTGATTTCGGTATTATAAACGAAGACATTTCCTAACACCTTTAAAACCATGTTGTGGAAGTTTCCAGATGGGGCTAATGCCGATATGGGGGCTGGATTCTTCATCTCTGTTCACTATTTAACAACAAAAAAAGAATATTCCTTGCTCTCAACTGGTGCTCCTGTTGAACGATGACTCCAGCCTTTTCAGAGCAGCAGAAACTGATCTGGGTCGGCCTCACTGTGATGTATTAATGTTGACACTTCATTGGGAACCTATGCACTCCCTCCTCTGGCATTGTTGGATCCTGGTTTTTTTTTTTACATTATTTATATGGAACTTTCTGGCAGTCAGATTTATAGTTCTATTGCTGCTGCTAATGTGGTCAGGTCCTGACTGCACTCATGGCACTCATGTGTCATGGTCGTACGATTTAATTTCCAGGGTTCTATGACAGGATACTAGGGAGAGTGCTGAAGAGGCTGGAGAATTTGGGGTGAGATGGTGGGAGTGCATCCAAGAGCAGGTGGCTTTGATGCGGGGCAGACGATCAGGGTGGGGGAAAAGACAAGTTTTATCCAAAGATTGTGTCTGCAACTTTGGGTTCCTTTTTTGGCACACTGCCCTTTCTGTTTTAAATGAATCAGATGGAGATTTCCATTTCACATTCCAAAAAAAAAAAAGAAAGTTAAAGAAACTGTCATTTTAAAACCAAACTTCATTGTGTGGAAATTGAGCACTATTTTCAATTCACGAGGAATGAAAGCAGCCGAAAGCTTGGGCGAAATTAGAATCGTGACCCGCTTGGCTGAGGGCCAACCTCCCGGCCGTTGGACGGGGAGGATAAGGACCCCCATGCGACCAATTGGGTAGCTGCAAAGGTGGAGATGGGGTGGAGGAGGGATGTAGAAAACGAACGAGGAAGAGGAGAGGGTGACGTTTGATATATATGGAGCCTGGTTGCTTACGTCAGGATTAGTGAGAATTGCAGCAGCCGTGTCGAACGAGCGCGACTACCTTCATTCCTCCCAAACTTTCATTAAAAACTCCATTTTGTCAAATCACCCTGCATTTGGTCTCCAATTTCTTGATTTTTGGATATATATTCACACAAAAAAATGTAATGTTCAACGCCCTCGGCAAGATTTGATTCTAAAAAAGAACTTTGAATGAAAAAATGCTAAATGTAATGAAAAATGCATAATGTTCAACTTCAGACTTATTGCTGTCATTATACTCTCTTTTTACTTTTCAGTGTACTGTATGTCTGCTGCTGTGGAGACAATGGCCATCACTGTAAATGTACGGTATAGCTTTTGTCAGGATAGACTGCGGCACCCTTTATTGACCCTCTGGACACAGCCGTTAGAAAATGGATGGAAAAGTGTATAGCAAATCTGCACTATCTGTTTTGAGAAAATGTCAGCAGTCCCCACATTTATATAGAATTTAACGAAGGCCAGTCTCACTGAATAAAATATGTAAGTTTAAATGGTGATGGCATACATATAATATGAATGTGCTATTAGACTGGAGAAACTCCAAACTCTGAAACCCTCTGTCCTAGCAGACTAATAGTAACAAGTCTTTGTTATGCAATTTCTTTTATTTTCCAATTTTGTAGCACTCCTACATGTATTGAATTTTTGACATAATGCCTTCTTAATGAAAATTATTTTCACATTTCATTACAAAATCCATGTAGAGAGTGTGCAAATGTGAGAGTTAAAATGTCAATGTGATTTTTTATATCTTTGTGTCTGGGAAAAAAAAAGAAAAACAAAAAGGAAGAAAACGTGCTCTTTACTTCACTTGCATTTCCCAGATTGGGCTCTTTCCAAGAAGGTGGAGGAAAAAAAATCTGCTTACAAAAGCAAAGTTATATTGTTACAACTTCATCATTAAAACCAGCACCGGCAGGCATTTAGAAGCACAATTAATTGGCTAGTCTGTTGGTTACGGAAATGTGTACATCCAGTCGTAAAACAGATTCAAAGTGGCAAACAAAGCTGGACATGTTACACCTCTGATTTTTCATACACATACTGTAAGCGCAGTCACAGTAGGTTTTAATAAAAGGTCTCCTCAATTAGCCAACTGATACAAACATGAAGAAGAGCCTTAGAAGTGGTAAAAAGGGCAGAGTGGGGATTACACAGCAGAATTATTTTGTGTTTCATGACAGACAAATGCTTAATATTGTAACGAATATGCCCCTGTGCATAACAGGGAGCTTGGCAGCCCAGGCTGAAGGAGCTTTTCTTTAGCTCACGTTCTCTGTTGGGTGAAACCAGAGACCCGGGTTCAAGCCCCAGCGGTGGAGTACCGCCCTGAGGTAGGGAGCGGCGAGGGCACATGCCCAGCGAACCCGAATCCGCTACAGTATGTTATACTTGCAATTCGTCAGAACACCTCTGATGATGTACAGTACAGTGTATGATTGAATCACAGAGGCCAATGTTATCAGATGAAAACAAGATAACTGGGTTTTTGAAGACCCCAAGCAAAAGTAACCAGAACTAGGAAAAGGTTTAAAAATGAAACAGATGGCCTCCGCTGCTAAACACAATGTGTAAGCTGTACCTCTGACATTTTTGTATGCATCAGTGGCTGCTTCTGAAGGGCTGAAAGGCTAAATTATCCAAGTTCATTTTATTGTCTGTTAATGAAAGGTTAATGTATGTATGACTCATTTAGAGTTATCACATTACTATTTAAATATTGCCAGCCTAAAATAATTTATCATTATGCAAGATTTATAGATCTGGGGTTGCAATTCACTGAGTTCTAAATTCCAAGGACATACAGAGCAGTGTGATGTAACAGTGCTTTGCATACGCCGCTGAGGATAAATCGATCCATTGGCTTTTATTTGCGTAGTAGCAACTACCACAGAGAAGGCAGCCTTAATGGGTTTTCAGATAACACATACAGTATGAAGGAAGGAACAAGACCCACTGAGAATAAGGGAAAAGAAAAAATATCCAGTGACGGACCACTCGTCTCAGATTTGTTTGATGAATGTAATTTTATTTCAGGCAGCAGCATTTTAAACTCGGTTTGCAGTGCTTCAATGAAATGTAAATGTTTCATATGTTGGATATATTTAAGATTTGAACCATACATTCTTTGTACAGTAAGCAATGCCACTTTTGATAGATTTGTACAATTACTAATTTTAAGGGAGTGAAGAGTTTTGGGGGGTTATTTTTTACACCATTAAATGAAAACGACCACAGGATTAGGATGCTGGTACACATTTGGTCTTGTGGGCCTGATCCAAAACCCATATACAGCACATACATTTTGTCTTTAGTGCCCTTTACTGCGCAGCCTTTGAAATGTTTCCTATTGGATGCATCCGATAGCTTCAACAGCTTCTTTCCTTGCCCTGTGTGTTAATTCTGCTAATGCCTGCTGATTGCGGCCAAGATGTAGCAATTCCACAGCTGACTTTTTTACGCTTTAAAATCTGCTCCACTTCATGAGCGTACTGTAGCTGGTTAGTGGAGGTTGGGCGCTGCCAAATTGGAAAATGATAATCGTGTTTAAAAGTAGACCATTTCTTAACTGGGCGACTCTGGAATACCGGAGTAGAGAAAAGGAAGTGTCCCATGTTAAACACTCGCGAGGTTTTCAGAGGGTTCAGCACAGTGCCAGTGGCGATAGCGCTGCTTGGTAACCGAGACAAAAGCAGTAGGAGTCAGTTTCATTAATAAGTACGGAAATAACCTAAAAGGGTTCTCTGCTGGAAGACCGAAAGAGAAAACAAAGAGAGATCGAACTATCAAAGCAGGTGAGAATATTACAAGTTATAAAGCTTCCATTGCAGTTATAATAAAATATGCTGTACTGTGCGTACACAGTATGTGGCTCACATAGGGAAAGATAGAGGAAAGACTTGCTGAATCTTTCATTTCAGTATTTTGTCCTTCTGTTGTTTGGCTGCACGCCGTACTGTGATGCATTAAGTCCAGGAATATGGTGTATTTTTAGAATGTGCAAGTATCGCGTTTGAGTCCAAACGTGCACGTCCGAAATTTTAGGTTCCATTATCCTCATGATCGTGTTGCATGTACAGTACATGAAGATATGTTTCTTAAAAAGCATTTTAAGTGTGTGTGAGTATGGTAGGGGTTGGGGAGTCATGAAGTTTTTGCGTCAGAAAGGTATTGTAGCGAATTCGTTACAGTATTATGTAATTAAACAATACGGTGCGTCTTTTCTCCATAGCAGGGCGCCTCTACAGTATCGTTTGTCGGTAGTTACCTTTTAAAGTCGCTCTTGACACGGTCTATAGTTAGAATTATTGATCTAATAATAGTAATATAGAACAAGTACCATTGTGACTGCAAGTTGTTTTTTTTTTGCTTTCGGGCCAGTTTCTCTATAGGAACCTCGTTTAGGGGGCATTGATTCAATCTGTCCCAGTTCCTTCCGACAGGTGAATAGACAGGTCTGTGCCTGTAGGTCAGGGCGTGTCCTGGTTTTGTCTGTGTAGTAGCTCTGTAGTATAAACGGGTTAGCAGCGCCTTTTGAAATGTGAAAGGTGGCTGTCGGTTGCTCAAAAGACGTGCAAGTAAACTATGTGGAAACATGCATCTATATTCTAATAATGAAAAGAAACACTAAAAAAACATGCCCGTGACAAACGTAATTGCACAGCTACGATATTCGATTTTTTGGGGGCTTTATCAAAAAGTTAAAAAAATATTCAGTGCAGGTGGCAAATTTGCTTAATATTACAGATGAAAACACCCAGTTTGGCACCCATTAACGTTTCAATGCAGTTTATTATTGGATTATTTTAGATAGTGCTTTTACCCAGTGGCCTACAGAAGGAAAAAGCACTTAGTGCAGTGCTAAGAGGAAGTTTCACCTACTGCATGATACTGCAAAAATTTAAACAGTGAAGAAGTACAATGAAATTACCTGTATTGGTAACTACAGCAAGTAAGATGCAGCAGAGTTACTTCACAATACGATTAAAAGAGGAATGTGCAGCAAATCGAAAGTTTGGCTCCTGAGAGCTCAGTAAAGGTATTTGCAAGCTGGTGATCTGTAGAAGGTTGTTTAAAGTAAAGCAGTGCCAATGGTAACAATTTACTGCCTGCCGAGGTAAGGAGACATATTTCGGGATCTATAGTGCAGAGTGTTGAAGAGTGTTTAGAAGGGGTGCAAGAAAGTTTTGGTGGTGCTGAAATCCTGTTGTTTTCTCAAATCCAGGTGGGTCAGGGGAGTGGATGTGGGGTTTAGGGACTTGTGGGGAAGAAACGAGGCGAAGAGGCAGGTTCAGGGGCAGTGGAAAAGCAGCCTCAGTCATAGGAGGTTTAGGATGAGACAAGGAAATAAAAATTAAGATGAGGGGAAGCCACAGAGAGCACAGACACACATTCTAATTGCACACTCCCAAAATATAAAAATGCCGTAACATACTGTAACGCTTACGGCCGACAAGCACTGTGTGTAAGAGCCGGC